TATACTCGAGGATCTTCACTACCCGGATACAACTTTGATCCAAGACATTGTACAAGGTTTCCCTCTTAGTGGTTGGATGCCGGCCAGCGGGGTTTTTCCTGCGAGCGTGAAACAACCAGTGCTCACCATGGAAGCGTTACTGGCAGGTTTGGACTCTTTCAATGCAAAGGTCAAAAGTCAAATGAGCATGAGGCAGGATGCAACCTTAGAGGCTGAGACTTGGGCAGAAACGATCAAAGAGCTAGAGAAGGGATGGATTTGGGAAGACCCAGATCAATCTTGGGGTGGCAAATGCGTGGCCAGAAGATTTGGTATCCATCAAGGTGAAAAGACACGAGTGATTGACGATTGCTCTGTCTGCGGGCTTAACAGAACAGTTGGGTTGCGTGAAAAATTTGTTCTCCAATCGATTGACCAAATGTGTGCTATGCTGTGCTGGAGTTTGAGGAGATCAGAAGGTGGAAGCCATCCACAAGTGGTTGGAAGGACGTTCGACCTGAAGGCGGCGTACAAACAATTTGGCTTGAGGGTGGAAGACCGTGCACTGCTCAGGATTGCGGTTGCAGACCCAGCAAGAGAAGCTCCTGTGTTGGTCGGTCTTAATGCCCTCCCCTTCGGGGGAGTGGGTTCGGTTGCTGGATTTTTGCGAGTGTCTTTAGCGACATGGTTCACTGGCATGGCAGGTCTGAAGATTTGTTGGACTGGGTATTTTGACGATTTTTCTGCAGTAGCACGGCCAGAACTCCAACGCAGTACGACTTGGGCCGTGGAGAGCCTGTTTGACTTGATAGGCTTGGACTTTGCCAGGGAAGGGCCCAAAGCACCGGAGTTTGATGCAGTGTTCAAGATGTTGGGGGTACAAATCGATGCCTCTGAAGCTACCTCTGGGAATTTCGCTGTAGGGCACACTGAGGACCGGAAGCGGGAGCTGCTGAAAACCTTTGATGAAGCAATTGAAGCGGGCAAGATAACCACGAAGCTGGCTGAGAGCCTGAGAGGGCGTATGGTTTTCTACGAGTGCTTTGCTGCTGGCCGTACGACCAATTTACTTTTGAAGGAATTTGGGAGGTTGTGCAGAAGTGACCGAGTGATCGATGAACTGTCATCGGCGGATTTGGTTTTGATAGCTGCACTTCGAAGCCGAGTGGCTTATGCAAAGCCGGTCACCATTTCTTCAAAATTCATGGACACGTGGTACATATTCACTGACGGTGCTTGCGAGGATGGTGAAGACGGGATGAAGGTTGGAGGAGTGGGTGGAGTCCTTGTTTCCTCCAACGGCCAATATATGCAACACTTTGGCATGACAATTCCGAGTGAATGGATGTCCTATTTCCTTCGGCATTCACGTCACCCCATCCATGAAATAGAAGTGTTGCCCGTTTTGATTTCATTTCATGTCTGGAGAAAATTCATTTCAAATTCCCAGGTCCTGCACTATACGGACAATGACTCTTGCAGATACGCCCTTATGCGAGGTACGGGGGAAACGCCCGTTGCCAAATGCCTTGTTGCCTCAATCATGGATCAAGAACATCGGCTGCAGACCAAATCATGGTATGGCCGAGTGCCGAGCCATAGCAGTCCTTCCGATGATCCAAGCAGAGGGTCCTTTGAAACCTTAGCTGCGCTTGGCAGTATCGGGATTCAAATCCCATGGAGCGAGTTGTGGTCTAACCTGCCATCCTTATAGGGGAGAGAACGGGGAGGTCCGACAACAGCCCCAATTTGGAAAAAAGGTGTGGCCCCTTTCTGCATGCAGATCACATTCGGAGATTGCGTGATTTTGAATCGTTGTGCAGTACATGTTCACTGATGTTTTGTCGTGGCCGATTTGTTTTATGTTTGACAATCGTGAATTTTTGTATACGACATTCATCTTTCGGTGGCAACAACGAAGGCGTTTGAAAAAACCTTGCGACGACGTATCCCTTAGTGTCTGTTTATGAATACGGTGTGGACTATATATATAGTGTTGGTGTTTAAGGGTTTGATATGTGTGGCAGGCCAGTATTTGTTTTGGTGGTCGGTGCGGCTGTTTGCTGTATGTTAAATAAGGGTGCCCTCCGTTGAGGAACGAAAAAGGATAAACCTTTATTTAACATACAGCTTCTTGGGCTTTGGTTTGAACCCTTCGTTCAATGGTACCAAAGCCCTCTGCCGCAACAACCAAAAACAAACTGGTCAAACTGCAACACTTTTACTCAAACCTTTTTCTGGGGTTTTTCTGAGATCCATGGATCTTCCTTCTGTTTGTGTATGGCGACTTTAGTCAAGAGTACTTTCATGGGTCTTCGGAAACCAAAACTTGAATGCTGTACAAATAGATTTCAGTATCTGGCATTTGCCTCTCCTGTGCGTGTACTGAATTCTATGTTGTGGTGGCATTTTGGTTTCAAGTTTTGTGCGTTAGCCCCATGGTCGGTGAATTTTCAAACCCACCCTGCTGCGCACCCAACCCGAAACCTTCACCAACTTCAGACAAAGGAGGATAACATCCACTTTGTTATCTTGAGGAGGATTACATCCACTCCATTAACTTTTAACCTACCCCCACCGTCCGAGAACGGGGAGGTCCGACAACAGCCCCAATTTGGAAAAAAGGTGTGGCCCCTTTCTGCATGCAGATCACATTCGGAGATTGCGTGATTTTGAATCGTTGTGCAGTACATGTTCACTGATGTTTTGTCGTGGCCGATTTGTTTTATGTTTGACAATCGTGAATTTTTGTATACGACATTCATCTTTCGGTGGCAACAACGAAGGCGTTTGAAAAAACCTTGCAACGACGTATCCCTTAGTGTCTGTTTATGAATACGGTGTGGACTATATATATAGTGTTGGTGTTTAAGGGTTTGATATGTGTGGCAGGCCAGTATTTGTTTTGGTGGTCGGTGCGGCTGTTTGCTGTATGTTAAATAAGTAGTAGTAGTAGTAGTAGCAGCAGTAGCAGCAGCAGCAGCAGGAGGAGGAGGAGGAGTAGTAGTAGTAGTAGTAGTTGAAGCCCCCCTTGAAGCCCCCCTTGAAGCCTTCCTTAAGCCCGCCTTGAAGCCTCCCTTGAAGCCCGCCTTGAAGCCCTTGAAGCCCCCCTTGAAGCCCGCCTTGAAGCCGTCCTTGAAGCCCGCCTTGAAGCCCCCTTGAAGCCCCCCTTGAAGCCCGCCTTGAAGCCGTCCTTGAAGCCACCCCTTAAGCCCCCCCTTAAGCCGCCCCTTAAGCCACCCCTTAAGCTCCCTTAAGCCGCCCCTTAAGCTTCCCCTTGAAGCCCCCCCTTAAGCTTCCCCTTTAAGCCCCCCCTTAAGGGCTTCCACCCTTCAAGGGGGGGAAGGCACGTCCTCTTTGGCACAAAGATGATTGCCTTATTCTTTGGTCACAATGGTGTTTTGCATGTATTGCAAAACAAGTGGAACTGCTGAATCCCTTTTTTCTGTCAAACAAAAGAGGCGTTGAGGTGCTTGCAATTTGTTGACAGTAGTCAACGTACCTTGCTGTCTATTCTGTTAAACAAACTGTGAAACTTCTTCTGACGCTGTACGTGCGTTTTGTTTCTCTGGAATCTTCCAAGATCTTTTGCTGTTTGCAGAAGTTGTTTGTTCATTGAATTTTCAGTGTCGTATTTTTTTCTGAATCGATCAGTGTTCTGACAAACCCTTTTTCTTTTGGAAACACCCAAAGTTACTTCAGTGAACAGTAGCTCTTCAACATGACATTCATGGAAACTTGAACTCATTTCTATGTCCACGCCTGTCGGTCAAGTGGATAAAGTTTCCATTCCTGTCACAGGGTGCAGTTAGCAGTTTTTTGATGATAGGCGTCGTAGAGGGCGCGTTGCCATTGCGAATCCTTTGGTGCTTGGTGGCCCAGTGAAACCCAGTTTGACCGTGTGTCATCTTATAGTGGCTGTCTGTTGCGCTTTTACCGCTGGCATTTCTATCATTTTGTGGCTGCTGCTTGCATGAGCAATTCTTACCCTGTGCAGTGGACACGTTTCGCAGTGACTTCAGAGGCTGATTTCGTTCGTTGGGAGGAGTCCAACATCTGGAATTTGACCATTGTTTTCAGTTTGGGTTCAGTGCATTCCAACTTGATCACTTCCAAGGCGCAGGACTTGCACTCAGTGACATCAAAGTATTTCATCACAATCTCGAGGCGTACAGCATTGAGACGCCTTCATTTGGATGGTTGCTTCGTGAAGCCTGACAGGTGTTGTGAGGTTGTCAGGGTTGATGAAATTTGCAGTGATGATTTTGATTCAATTTGTCAAGCTTGCAAGCGAAAGATGTTAGCTGAGTGCGGCAAAGATGATGTGGTAGATTCGTCATCGACGCCCTCTTCCTCCTCCACAGACTCCGGGGAGGAGGCTCTAGAGGTGCCAGTTGGTTGAGTGATGACTGGTTTCAGAGCATGCTTGGACGGAGTTGCATGTAGTGTCATCACGTGAAATCGGATGGCAGAAGGGTATCACCTTTTGGCGTTTGGACGCAGTTGCACAGTTCAGACTGTAGCCCCACGTTTTCTGTCCGAAACAGAGAAAACAGGTGACTGGCTGGGGTCTTTGAGGGTTGCAAGTGGTTGGAATGTTTTCTGAATTGATTTGGGGCAGGTGCAGGTAGTGAGTCGCGGTTTGAAATTGTGCCATTGCATTGCGTTTTGAATGGGGATTTCTTGTCTTGTGACACTTCATTTGCATTGGAAAGTCATCGTTCAGACGATGAGATTGTTGTGCTGGTTGTGGATTGTTGTGTGCACGTGTTGGTGGCTCAGACCTCAGGGTGCCATCAGCAAATATGAACTTGCAATGCAGTAGGTTCAGACCGTTGCATTTCCCCACAGTAGGTTCAGACCAATGCATTTCCCAGCACTTCATTTGATGTTGGGTCAATTGGTGAATTTTGAGTTTCTTGATTTCTCACTCGTGCTGTCAATTGCAATTGATGTGCATTCTTTTGGTTTTCGTTTTCACTTCACCATTCTCTTGCCACACGTTTGCCGGCATTGACAACATGGATCCAGATGCGCAGCGTGAGTTCGTTAGGGACCACATGGACGCTGACATGCAGTTCATTCTGGGTGAGTCAGGTGTCAGCTTGGAGAACCAAGTTGCCATCTCTCGGCACTATGGGTCATTGCGGAAGTTTACAGCACTGGGTGATGACAGAGCTGCTATTAGGACCAGTTGTTTGCAAGACTTTGCAATCCCTAATGACACACCGGAAGCACGTTCACAGACAGCTTCGGTGGTAGCGGCATGGGAGACAGCCAGGGAGTACATGGCGAAGGAAGTTGAGTTGAAAGCAGAAGCAAAAGTCTTGGGCCAGCCTCGCATTCTTCAGATACACGAGAGGCAGGCCATGATTAGAGCAGTTGAGAATGTGCATGGCCAACTCAACGACTCCGAGTGCCCGTCTTCGGACTACCTGTCTTTGAAGGCGGAGGAGACAGAGTGCAATGAGCCAACTGCAGCTCCCTTGGATGAGATATTGAGTAAGCAGGCTTCATCCAATTCACAGATACAGTCAGCAGTCGACAGCTCGGGGCACATTAGGGTGACGAGGACAAAGGCGAAAGCAAAAATGCCAAGCTCCACAGAGGAGTATCGCAAGGTGATGAAGGTGGAGATGTTTGCTTGGCTTGCGATGGCCTCGCGCTACAAGGCCAAGCATTGGTTGCATGGATTGACAGCAGTCCCCTTTCAGAAGTTTACAGAATACATCCTTGGGGACCGGGTGTACGGGATACAGATTCCGTCGGCCTCTGGGGACTCAACTTCACAAAGAGTCAAGCCAGACTGGTCCATTGTGCTGGCATACGAGTTCAAACTGAGGAAGGAGGCCATGAAGAAGGTGATGTCAGGGCATACTTTGTCGGAAGCCCTCGAAGCAGTCATCCGTGACCCTGATCTCAAAGAGGCTTATTTTACAACACCTATGGCCCTTCGTGCATCGATGCCCGATCCCCAGCCGAACAAGTTCACGCGCTACAACTCCAAAGGGGGCTATGGGTCCTTCACTGGAAAGCAGCCTTTTAGCCCCTCAAAGGGGAAAGGAAAGGGTTCCAAAGGGAAGAGCAAGAATAAGGGTGCAGACCCCAGGCTAAAGGGCCTAAGCTTGGCATGGAGGACTCCGGACGGTCGTGAGCTCTGCTTTGCGTGGAATACAGGTGAATGTGATGGAGCTTGCGGCCGAGTACATCAGTGCAGAGTCAAGGGTTGCTACGCAAGCCACAAAGCAGTAGAGCACAACAAAGGACAACAAGCGTCCTGACAGGACATACGTGCAGACGCCCCCAGCATGCCTGCACAGAAACAATTACCGGTACTGAAGGTGATGTACCTCTTTGCTGGGCGTCAGCGCCATTCTGACATTGGCTCTTTCCTTAGGAAAGCTGAAGAGTCGGGGCATTTCAAACTGGAGCTGATGGAATTTCATATTGAAAGGTCACCAGACCAAGATTTGTCTGACCGTGCATTATGGGATCGCATCATTGCCCTTCTCAAAGAAGGCGATTGGGTGCTCATTGTATCAACTCCTTGCAACACTTTTAGCAGGGCACGTTTTCAGCGAAAGCATTTGGGGCCCAAGCCCTTACGTACCAATACCTGGCCACGTGGTTTTCCATGGCTTGGCAAAATAGACAGAGCCAAGGTGGAAGAAGCCAACATGTTTGTCGATAACTGTTTACTGGCTTGCGACGTCACTGCAAGCGCTGGGGGTATATTTTTACTGGAGCATCCTGAAGATTTGGGTGCGGTACAAGGGATCAGACCTGGCTCAATATGGCAGTGGGAAGAATTGTTGGAGCTCATCCCAAAGTTTGGGGCATGTTGTTTTGCAGTGCACCAATGCAAATTTGGAGGTGCAACACCGAAACCGACGAGATTTCTGTCTTCATTTCAAGTGAACGACCCCAGGTGTTACTGTTCTCTGCCAAAGTTTGACAGATTGGGTTCATACAAAGGTCCGTTACCGAGAGATTGCGGTCATGTCCATGAACACAAACTGATTGGTAAGACAGGTTCACAGTGGAATACTGCTCCGAGTGCGTCTTACCCACCTGACCTTTGTCAATTTCTTGCAGGACTCATCCTTGATGCCAAGGCACCATACGGAAGGGGCGAGAAGAATGAGTCCCTTCCAAAGCGCCGGAGGGTTGCAGAATCAGTGGAAGCACAGTCCCCAGCTCCAAGTACAAAACATGAAGTTCATGTGCATGAGGGTTCAGGTTTGTTGGAACGGGTGAAGTTCACTCATGCAATGTTGGCTCAGTTTTACAGAAAGGCCACACAGTCACTGCGGGATCAGAATCACAGATGTCAAACAACATTGAAGAGTCTTCAATTTCTCAGGACGGTGGGGACCTTTTTGACATGTCTGCATGTGGAAACTCAGGGGGCCAATCGCAGTTGAGTGGGACCAGGCACACAGAGGATTTATTGACGGTTTTGGTTTGTGCAGTCCATGCAGGTGGAAGCCGGCTCACAGGGGGACCAACAGGTCAGAGGACATGGTACAGCTGGCACAAGACACGTTTCAAATTTTGGAGGAAACTGTCAGGGGTTCAATTTCAGATCTGCGTTTGGAATCTTTCAAGCTGGTCACTGGAAAGATAAAGCAGTCACCTTTTTCTGGGCCAACACTGGACAGGGCCCGAAAGCGTTGGTTTGCGTTGTTGGGGGAGGTAACTGCTGGCTTGCCAGTAAGTGTTTATGGTGTAAGCGATTGAAACCTAAAGGTTTCCCTTGGCAAAGCTGTGTTAAGGATCTATCTGTGATCCTATGTTTATGGGTCTCTTGCTGCGCACGCGTCACGCGACTTGCTTAAGGGGCTATGCCGCCTCTACCGTGCGTTTGCAAAACCAAACAAACAAACCTAAACAACTGATGCGGTTTAAGTTTCAGTCTATGCTGACTTTGATCTTCTGAATATGTCAATGGTTATATGAGGCATCTGAAATATATGTTGACATGTGAATATATCTGATGTGGGAATATATATATATATATGCATATGCAATTTCACATGTCGGTCATTTCACTTCACATGCTGTGATGTCATTTCAATGCATGATTTTTGTTTCACGTTGTGTTTTACATGTCAGAGGTGGGTGGGTAGGGACTTGCTCATTTCCAATGCAATGATGAATTTTTGATCCCGCCCAACTCATCCTTCGTTTCCCACCCCAAAACGGGGAAAAAGCAACAGTCATGCAGACTGAAAAACATGAAAAGACAATGCAATGCGTGCAACTCCAAATGTCATATGCAATGACCCATGCAATGCTATGCAGCATCACCATTGAGATCGAACTCCCCTTTGACCGCAGCCGCAGAAAATAGGTGCTGAGCCACGTTCGTTTCCGGCAGTTGACATGGCAGTTTGATGTTTTGAAAAGTCAGCCAAATAAATTATTTGACATGACCACACATGATGTTTTTATGATATCCTATGAATATACTTTATGACACAAAGCAACTTATGTATGCGTCACGTCGCTTTGTGTTATGTGGGTTTGCCTAGGTTGATACAACCTTTGTGCTATGTGGGTTTGCCAAGGTCGCTGAAACCATAACCCTAATGATGCTGCGGTGGTTGACAGTGGTCAGCCCTTTTTCTTGCGGGCTCTTGCACAATGGCTCAAGAGGTTTCAGGACCCGGATGCGCACTGGCTGACAGAAGTTGAAGACTCTTTTGCGTCAGGGGTTTACGTTGGAGTTGATAAACCATTGCCGAGGTCCCCACAGATCTTTCCTCCCAAGCTGAAACATCGCAAACTAGACGAGACCGACTTTGTGCCGATAGCAGAGAATTACCAATCAGCTCAAGTTTCTGCAGAGGAGCTGGAAGAAAAATTCAGGGAGGAGGAAGCTTTGGGGAGGATGCACCCGTCAAAGCTGGGGGTGCTTAAGCAGGAGTATGGCGAGTCATTGCGCATAGCATCCATGGCCGCCATCACGAAACCAGATGGGAGTGTCAGGCCACTACATGACGCTACGCACTCGGTCATGGTCAATCACAGCATTTTTTACCAGGACAAGATTGATTGCCCTGTTCCTGCAGAGATTTCCTCCATAGTCAGGGAGGCAACAGAGACTGGAGAGGCGGTTTTTTGCGTGAGCGCAGACATCAAAGCAGCTCACAGACTTGTGAAGATCAGGAAATCCGATTGGGGCTATTTATGTTGCCGTGCTGATTCTGAGTCCACCACGGTTTGGGTCAACCACACTGGAACTTTTGGCGTGTCGAGCGCCCCATACTGGTGGTCAAAACTGGCTGGCCTACTTGGAAGATTTGTGGGCTACATGTTCCACACGAGGTGGATGATGCAGATGATTTACGTGGATGATTTGCACGGAGCCCTTGTTGGTGCAGAGAAGTTTCTTTACATGTGGATTTGGGTCTTGGCTTTCGAACTCATTGGGACGCCATTTGGATACCACAAGTTCAAAGGTGGCTACGCTTCAGAGTTTGTAGGATTCCACATCCGATATGATCTTGCGGAAGTGGGCATCTCCACAAGGCGTGGTGACTGGTTGGTTCAATGGATTGCAAATGTCAAGAGAAACAAATACGTTGTGGCATCGAGAGACTTTTCCGAGTTCCTTGGGCGCTTGGGTTTTGTGGCGCAGTTGATAACGTGGCTCAAGCCACACCTGTCACCTTTGTTTGCTTGGGCGGCAGTCACAGCGAGGGGCACAGTTGGTCGCCTGCCAGACACGGTCATTTTGACCTTGTGTTACATTGAGAAGGAGCTCACTGCTGAGTCATATTTGGTTTCAACTCGCAGGCCGAAAGTTTTGGCTGGGGAAAGTTTCCGCACCGATGCAAAGTGCACGGACACATGTGTGGTGTTAGCTGGATGGGAATTGCAGTCGAAGAGATGGTTTGTTCTGAAGCTTGGCCCTTCTCAGGTTCCCTACTTCTTCAAGCCCCAAGGGGGCTCACAGTGGGCTTCTACATCAGCGGAGCTCTTGGCAACCCTGGCTGCTTTGCATGCGTTTGGATGGTTGCAGCATAGCCGGGATCGCAAGACGCTGGATGTGGTGTTGTCTGCAGGCACGGACAACTTAGCAAACGAAGCGCTGTCTGTGAAGCGCTCCACAACACGTTGGCCACTGATGGCAGTCAACATGCAATTGTCATCCTCCTTGGCTCGAGCCAGACTCACCCTTGCGCTCAAGTGGCGCCCCAGAGAGGAGAACGTGGAGGCGGATCAGCTGACTAATGAGGTTTACACTGGTTTTGACCAAGGGAGTCAGGTGGAGATTGCGTTGGGAGATTTGGACTTGTCAATTTTGGATTCGTTGGTTGCAACAAGGGCTGAGTTTGATGAGGCCAGGAACGCTGCCAAAGAAGCAGCGAGAAAGCTGCCCTCCCAGAACAGGAAGAAAGTTGACAAGTCGCCGTGGTGATGTTGGGTGCAATTCATTTACCTCTCCTGAAGGGGGGGTTCTGTGAGGTCAATGAATTGGCCACCTGGTTCAATACAGACTGCTGCAACTTGCTTTACGCTGAACAATTTTTTTGTGGGTACAACGAATGCTGAAAGAACGAACTTGATGTTCAACAGGATGTTTCATGGATTGGGGCGCTTCCAATCTTTCAGGTGATGTTGCAGCAGCCAACAACTTGGATTGCGCAAGAACTCTCCACCACATGAGAAAAGTCTCCGATCCGATTTCTTGAGTTGTCATTTGATTTAGGATTTACAGTGATGCAGTGGATTTCATTTGCAGTTGGTGTGTTTTTGGATTTCACGGGTTCTGTCGCTTCATCTCATGTTTCGTGATTGCAACGTGTTACATTTGGCGATTTGATTTGCGATCGACGGGCGTTTTCGAAGTTCTGGCTTGGAATCTTGATTCCCTCACCTGTTCAAAACTGCGTGTAATGTAGGCTCCACTGGGCTTGCCCAGTGTGTCTATATGTAACACAGTTTTGGATGGGTGGGTGGGTGGTTGCTTGCGTTGTCAACTCGGACTCGGATTTACTTCAACTGGCTTGGTGAGAAGTTCTCTCCTTTGCTTACTTGGCATTCACTCCTCTTTGAGGACGTAGCGATGGGCTTTGGGCGCTTGCATCGAACAATGCAATGGCTTGATTTAATTGGTCTCAACAGTTGGTGTTTTACAGTCTGTGAATGTTCTGCAGTTTCAATTGGGACAGTTTGTGACAGTGATGTTTTCGCTTGAGTTGCTTCTTGAGTTATTTTTGAATTGGTCGTTTGAAACTTTTACTTGTGATCATACAGTTCTTGGAGGTTGACTGACACTTGACTCCTTTCAGTTGTGAACAGTTGATGCTGACGGTTTGTGAAAACATTTCAACTTCTGTGCAGTTTCACTTTCACTGTGAGAAGACAATCATACAACAGCATGTAATGACGAAGCACGGGCTTGGAAGTTTTTCAGATACCCAGCCCTACCCGCCCTGGAATGGGTGTGGTTCGGCAAATTTCTTGCGCTAACTGGGGGTTCTGTGAGGTCAATGAATTGGCCACCTGGTTCAATACAGACTGCTGCAACTTGCTTTACGCTGAACAATTTTTTTGTGGGTACAACGAATGCTGAAAGAACGAACTTGATGTTCAACAGGATGTTTCATGGATTGGGGCGCTTCCCAATCTTTCAGGTGATGTTGCAGCAGCCAACAACTTGGATTGCGCAAGAACTCTCCACCACATGAGAAAAGTCTCCGATCCGATTTCTTGAGTTGTCATTTGATTTAGGATTTACAGTGATGCAGTGGATTTCATTTGCAGTTGGTGTGTTTTTGGATTTCACGGGTTCTGTCGCTTCATCTCATGTTTCGTGATTGCCACGTTTTACATTTGGCGATTTGATTTGCGATCGACGCGCGTTTTCGAAGTTCTGGCTTGGAATCTTGATTCCCTCACCTGTTCAAAACTGTGTGTAATGTAGCCATCACCATCCCACAACTGCCACAGGGCGAGACTGACGGCGCGCAAAGCGGCCTTATAAAATGACAACTCACACACTGCAAGATGCCTTTACATTTTGGAACAACGCATTTCATAAGGCATTCTCCTCGCCAACGCGTCCCCGACGCACCCCCAGCAAAAATTGAAAGAGCACATTGGATAATGTCAGCTTTCTTCGGCTGTGATGCTGTGGTTGTTGAAGAGAGGTTTCTGCACCCTTCCTCGCCTTCTTTTGTTTGGCTTCCTCCAATGAGCACCATTGCTCAATGTCGATATCCATCCAGCGCCGTTGCTCAAAGACGATCTCCATCCAGCGGTTCTTGCTGCAATATTCATCAGTAATTTTGCACCTGGTCCTTTATGTTCCTGCTGTCGCTCATTGATGCCTGCTGCCTTGTACTTGTGAAGGCTAGCTTGCAGGCGTGTGTGGCAGGTTGCTGTGATCTTCTGTGGCATTTTTTCTGTGTCTGCTCGTACGCATGCTGTCTTTCTCTGCGCCTTCGCCACCTTCCTTGAGTTTCCCCGTTCTTTCCCAAATACAAAACGAAAGGAAAAATAACATGCACAGCCACCACAGAAACAAACCAACTCGGAGCAAGCCAGAGTCAGCCAGAGAAGCCCGAGTGAAAGTAAAGCATCCTTTTCAGCGGACTTGCGTTCTCCTTGCCATACGCCGTTCAGCAAGAATATCAGACAACACCATGTAGAGCACCATCATCAGACACCATCCATCAGCATGAAGGTGCACGAAGCACAGCCATAAATGAAGGCTCACATGCGTGCGCTACACGCAGCACACCCTGGGAATCGCAACTCAGAGGTCTGCCCTTGGCCATTGCGTGCAGAATGAGCTCCACAAGGAAACAAGGAAGAAAATAAATCAGATAACATCTGTCTTTTGACTTTTAACGCTGTGCTTGTTCGCAAGAGGTTTTGTCATTTTCTTGATTTTGGCTTGTATTTCTTCTCCGTTTTTGATGCTGTTCAATGCTTTTCGGTTAGTGGCTGCTCATTTCATACATGTTCCGTCAGTTCTTGACCTGTGTGCGAATTTTTCTGTTGTCGCTCAGAGTTTCCTTGCATTGTTTTATGAAGACAAGAGTGCGCATATTTGACGCGCGGTTGCTTTCATCTCAGAGGGCTTGTTTCCTCATGCGCTGCCGTGCATGCAGCGTTTCAGCGCCTTCTTCACGCCTCTGGTTTAGATTCTTAGCTGTCCTAGCTCTTTAAAGTACACAACGAAAGGAAGCACAACGCGCAAGGCAAACAGAAACAAACCAGCTTGTGGCGACCCGTGTGGGAGTGACTCATAAGCATGCTCCGTGCGAAGGCCCTTCAACAATTTTTTTTGGAAATGACAGTATGTAGATGACCATGACCATCCATGACCATCCCACAACTGCCACAGGGCGAGACTGACGGCGCGACAGTAGTACTGGAACGTGTTTGTGCAAGCTTTGTAGTACACAGTAGTGCTGGAAGGTGTTTGTGCAAGCTTTGTAGTACACAGTAGTACTGGAACGTGTTTGTGCAAGCTGTGAAGTGCACAGTAGTACTGGAACGTGTTTGTGCAAGCTTTGTAGTATACAGTAGTACTGGAACTTGTTTGTGCAAGCTTTGTAGTACACAGTAGTACTGGGAACGTGCTTTGTGCAAGCTTTGTAGTACACAGTAGTACTAGAACGTGTTTGTGCAAGCTTTGTAGTACATAATAGTACTGGAACGTGCTTGTGCAAGCTTTGTAGTATACAGTAGTACTGGAACGTGTTTGTGCAAGCTTTGTAGTACACAGTAGTACTGGGAAGTGCTTTGTGCAAGCTTTGCAGTGCACAGTAGTACTGGAACGTGTTTGTGCAAGCTTTGTAGTACACAGTAGTAGTGGGAATATGCTTTGTGCAAGCTTTGTAGTATACAGTAGTACTGGAACGCGTTTGTGCAAGCTTTGTAGTACACAGTAGTACGGGGAAGTCCTTTTTGCAAGCTTTGTAGTATACAGTAGTACTGGAACATGTTTGTGCAAGCTTTGTAGTACACAGTAGTACTGGGAAGTGCTTCGTGCAAGCTTTGTAGTATACAGTAGTACTTGGAATGCTTTGTGCACGCTTTCTAGTACACAGTAGTACTGGGAAAGACTTTGTTGGGAATGTTTTGTGCAAGCTTTGTAGTACACAGTAGTACTGGAACGTGTTTGTGCAAGCTTTGTAGAACAAAGTAGTACTGGGAAGGTTTTGTGCAAGCTTTGTAGTACACAGTAGTACTGGGAAGTGCTTTGTGCAAGCTTTGTAGTACACAGTAGTAGTGGGAACATTTCGAAGTAATTTGTGCAAACTTTGTGTAGAGTAAGGAGTGTGGAGTGTAAAGTGTGGGGTGGGGAGTGTAGAGTGCGTAACGTGTAGAGTGTGGAGTGTGGAGTGTAGAGTGTAAAGTATAGAGTGTAAAGTGTAGAGTGTGGAGTGTAAAGTGTAGAGTGTGGAGAGTGAAGTGGAAAGTGTAGAGTGTGGAGGAGTGCGGAGTGCGGAAGGGCGTTTCTGCGTGCAGACAAGACTTTCTCTCTGGTGTACTAAACAAGGCCTTCCCTAAGGCCTGGTCTGTATATAGCCTCTCCTCTTGCGTACCTCTCTCAGATAGACTTGCAATACCTCTCCGCGTCCTGCGTATCTCTCACCTCCGCGTAAGTAATGATGACAGCGATCACCGTGCTGACAACTTGCCAAAAGACTTGTGAATTTTTAAACAAACAACCAAACAATATTTTCACCAGTGTTTTCTCACCGGGACCTTCCAGTTTTATTTATTCTCAGATGTTGTTTCTGCCCTGTTATGTGTTTACTCTTTACTGAAACTGATCAGTTGGTCACAAACAACAAACAGGGTCTTAATAAAACTGAAGGTCAAATACTTCAATCTGATCTTACCGATCTGGAAGTAACTTTATTTCACTTGTAGCACTCCCGGTTCAAGGGAAGGTGGGTGGGTTATCCAATAAAATTTGGAAACCTTCGAAAATTGTGAAATCGGGGGTAGGAATGCCATGAAATTCCGTGGACACCCTTCACAAAAGGGCAAGGCTCTGGTGAAAGCATTGAAACTGGAGAGGACTCCCCAACATTTTGGAAACTTTTGTTGCGCTGCTGTTGGATTTCTCAGTGGATGCGTTTTTGCTATTTGGGTGCTCATTCAGTAATTTTTGCCTGGGTTTTTTGCTTACAATGGATACAGATGAACTGGGATTGAGTGCACAGCCTTCCTTCAGGGGCTTCCGCAAGCGTTGGGCGGCTAACCTGCAAGTGGACGCTTCAGAGGACCCTGGTCATGAAGTTGTTGATGATTTTATGCAGACCTCTGGAAATTTTTCACCTGCTGACATTTTCGATAGTGCTTCACTGCCCAGTGGTTGGGACAGAGTTTCAGATGATGGGTTGGACAAGCGAGCTGAAACTGAATATGAACCTGAATCCCCACTTGATGTGC